GCTGTTTTAAGTTATAAATGGAAGAGTCTCACTTTTATCATCAACTTAGTCGGTTCATCTTTCCAAAAACTAGAATCTGACAAATAAAAATAGAGATAAGTGAGAGAGAATAACGTCTTTTACAACATAAGGGTATGAAAAAAATAGTGAATATCTAATTGCTATTTATCTTTGACAAACTATTTGTAGTGCATCTTCAAGACTATGACAATCATAAATAATTTACGCGGTTTAGTTTTATCATTATGATTCAGGTAATTTTGATCAACGTAGAGATTTGGTGAATATGAAGCATATCCGATGAGGAAGGCGATTTCCTAACCATAAAGAATCTTTTAAAGTGTCGGCCAAATTAGTCTTTTTTTACCACTGAGTAGATGTCTGCACGTGTTAAGAAAACGTAACCCGACCCGGCCGTCAAAATGCCGACCCGAACCCGTCTTAACCCTAGTCAAAATTCTACCAGGATCTTAATAGGATCCTAATTGAATCTGGGTGACCTGAAAGTTCTAGGATTTGATAAAATTTGCCTAGGAGTCTAAGATTAATCCTAGACAAATTCTATCAAATCCTAGAACTTTTCGGTCATCCGGATTCAATTAGAATAAAAAGGCCAGGACAACTCTAGCGTTTTTCCTTTGAGATAATTAATCGTCACATGATATCCTGCATAGTGAACATATACTGTAGTGCTTGATGCGATGAAAACCAAAGCAGAAGGTTTGATAGGTGAATGAACCAGCTGATACGATAATATGAATAATATCCCGTAGAAAAACATTATCTTTCTGAAAAAGGTCGACTCTCCAATCTTCCAGCAACTTCTCTAGTTTTTCTTTGTCTCACAAGGGGAAAGCCCGCATGTGACAAAGCTAATTATCTTCTTCCCGGTTCTCAAAGCTAATTGTTTTCTTCCCGCACCACAATATTATTAGCAGGAAAAAATGCACGTAATATCACCACTAACAAAAAAGAAATGCTATCATTGAACATTGTACCGTTTGCCTTCAAGAAGAAAACTTCAATAATAAGCGAATTTAGAAAGATATAATGCTCAAATTTTCTGTAATATTAGTAGACTATTAGCAAAAATACCAAGGAAAATTTCACCTCTTAATTCTTTGTTTTGACTGGGTTAGTAATTACTGTTACTACACACAGTATTCCGTTAGAACAAAAACATTCATAACTTTCGAAAGAACCGATATGAGTCCTTCTTTAAGGGTTTTCGTCAGCTCACTTTCCTCTGTTAACTGACATAGTATCATTAAAAACGGAGTTGGGTATCTGAAGAGCTCGCCTCATTAGTGAATGCAGTTGTTCTGAAATAAGTATTTCAACTGAAAGTTCCGGTAGAGTTAACTTTTCAACGAGACCTAGTGAAGTAGACAATGCTGGCACTATTTTATCTTCACATGTGAGGGAACAAGTTAGATTAACATTAAATGTTCTATATTAAAAAAAAACCAGGACAAGTATAGTGAAAAAAAATTGTACCTAATAGAAATGAATAACAGTTATATGTGTTTCTTTGTTCTGTTGCTGTTGTTTTTGAATGTCATCATAAGATGATACATAGCGTTTTATAACATTTTCATTCGACGTTTGTAATAAAACAACTTCATAATCGAATAGACTATCAAGAATATGTGATAAGACTAAGTTAATTTCATTATAAATTATATTCAGTAAATTTGTTGAGTGGCAAGGTAGATGAAAAATTTAAATCAATTAATTTTAAATAATTTGTTTTATATTCCTTTAATGCTGTTCGTCGAAAACCGATTAGAGATGATTGCATTAGTTCAATTTGTTGTTCAATTGTTACATGTTGAACATTTTTAGTGAAAATAAGTATATGAGGATCACCACGTTGTTCTTGTTTGATTACTTTAATAATAGTCATTAACATAGTACAAGGAAAGCCTTGTTGTTCAAATAATTTAGTTTGTTTTTTATCATCAGAACCGTTTGTTGACCATAAATATAAAATACTTATTTGTTTAAAATGTTTAAATAGAGACTGAAACAATTTAACTATATCATCTTCGGTATTAACAGTAGATATATATTGTTGCTGTTGATTATCATTATTATGGTTGCTAATGGTATTGTTTGATACAAAGATAATATTATTCTGATTATTTTTTTCAAATAATTTTCCAAATTGTAAACAAGTAGTTTGTATTTAATCACAAAATATAATCCATGTTTGCTGTTGTTCTTGATCATCAACTGTTTTTTAAGCCACTATTATAACAAACAAATTTTGAGCACAGCTCAAACTCTACTAACAGAGAGCTGAAAGTACACCATGGTAAACCTGTTAAAAAGGCCAAATTTTTTCATAGATCGATGTCCTCAAGCGTCTGTTTCATAAAATTGAAAACCGCAGGTCTCTACCTATTACCGTTCAAAAGTTATTAAAAAAACATCGAATTGTTCTATATTTTGAAACAAATAGTAAGTACCTTGGTAGAAACTTGAAGAAAACTCGAAGAATTTTTTTAGTTTTTGTCATGAAACTATAACTATAGTCAAAATTTTTGGAAAAAAATTTTCTTCGCTCTCGACGGCCGTGGCGGCAATTTTCACGGCATGGCGGCGGCGGCTGAAGCCGCAATAATTTTTCTCCGCCTTCAGCAGCGGGAGCGTGTAAAAAATGACCGGCGGCGAATCGGCGCGGCGGTGCACATCTCTGGTCAGTAGTCTTTTCTATGTGGGATAAAACTAGCGTGAATCTATTATGCAATTCTTTTTATTTAGTTATTCTTTCAATCAAAGTAGAGCAGTTCTTTCCCTCTTCTATAAAAATGGCTAAATTGGTTTTTGTTTAAGTTCTGTCCACCCAATAGAGCATCAAAAACCACATATATTACTATGATTTTCTTGTTGTTTTCTCGTTTCCTATAAATGTAAAATGAAAATTATGGGATAAATGATGGAATTTTCGTGACTACAATATGTGAAGAGGAGGTTTCATAATATATTAACTTAATGTTTTTTAAATTTGAAAACAATGCTGAAATGATTTGCAGTTTTTACTATCTGATTCGAAGATAATTATGAACGACTTTTACACAAGGAGGAAACAACTGACTTCACTTGACTCCAGTCGTATGGAGTCATCAGGAGTCAAGTGAAGCCCAGAGTCTGCTGTTTGACCCTTGCCCACCCACCTAAGGGGGAAACAATGGGACCCAGTCGTGTGGATTCAGATGGAGTCTGCTATTTACCCCTTGTGCACCCACCACTAGGACTGTTACAGTTCCAATTCTAGAGAACTCGTGAAAGGTTCTCTAGGCCCGGAACTGTCACACTGCTGGCAAATAATGAAGTGATTACTCATAACTACTCATGTTTAAGGGTTTTGGCTTAGCATTAGCGTTGAATTAGTATTAGCATAATGCCAATGTTTATGATTCCTAATAACAGAGAAATTGCGTTCTGTTGTGGGAGTTTAATCCTCGTAACAGAACAAAAATGTTCCGTTTTGGGAACCATAAGCACTCATCAATGAGTATTTTTGAGTAATAATGAGCAATGGATGAATTGATTGATTCTATGATTCGACCACTTCTTAAAAACTGATACGAATTGTTATATTCCTACATGTGACTCCACAATTCTATTACATTTTGGAGTCATGTGGAGTCAAGTGGAATCAAGTGGAGTCAATTGATGCAGTAGAGTCTGGAGTCAGTTGTTTCCCCCTTGCTTTTACATCATATCACTACTCTTTCCATATTTTTCCTATTTTGTGTTTCAACATAACGTAAAATTTTTAACTGACAGTTGTATCACAGAAAACGGTTCGTTCAAATTCATAAAAGCAGGCAAAATATAAGGAATTTATTTTACATCGTCACTGTAATTCATTTGTATTCGGATCATAAGAAACCAACTATTGGTCATAACTGATTCAACATCTAATTGTTCTAATTCAAACATGCTCATATATTTTAAATAACGTTTACTATGTTTGAAACAATAATTCATTTTTAAACATATAAGTAACCAATGGTATACCATGTGTAGAGTATGTCATCGTTAAAAAAGTATTCGAAGATTGTTTCTAGACGTATTTAAATCTAGAAATGAACGAAGTTTTATATTTAAATGCTGTCTTGAAGCTGTGAAAAACTACTTACGTATCGTAGGAATTGTTAGTTCTATACTACGTGAAGTGCCATTAATGTTCACGTTAATGGTTTTGTTTAGTGAAGTAGACAATGCTGGTACTATTTTATCTTCACATGTAAGGGAACAAGTTAGATTAACATTAAATGTTCTATATTAAAAAGAAATCAGGACAAGTATAGTGAAAAAAAATTATATTTAATAGAAAATAAAGCAACTTACACTAGCTGTTTTGTACCGATTTTTACTGAGCAAATATAAGCGTTCACAATCGTAAAGTTGACATCGACAATTTTGTCCCGAAGCTAAAAAAAAATGAAACAGTTCATCGAGATTATTTCTGATTATATTAGACTATTTTTTTATTACCGGTTTTGTTATATTTGCATGACTTGCTTTATCAATTGTACTGTTATTAAGAGTATTTGTAACATTATATGTTAACAAGATATAAGACTTTAATGGTGCTGATTTATAAGAGACAACAAAAATATAGACTATTTTTTCATACCTTTTATGAGAGCCTACATAACTGTTCTCTCTCTCTATATAGATACAAAAACTAACCGAGATTTATTGTTGTGTCGGCTGTAGACGTTGTTGTTATACCAGATGTTGCAGATGAATAAATCGATGACATTGTAGATGGTGAATGAGTAACTGAATGAAAGGTTGTTGTTTGGGCGGTAGTAAAAATAACAGTTGTTGTTGGTTGAGAAGTTTCGTGAATGAGTTCACTATGTGTTGAGTCAATAAGTAAATGATTTGCCGTGGGCACCACAGGTAGAGTCACACTTATGGAAGGCTTATCTAGAGAAAACACAAATATCGGCTTCTGTTGATTGAAGGATAGACTAACTATCACTTACATATTTGAGGCAGATCCAATGTTAATTTGTGAGTAATACCACTAACTCTGATAGAAACATCAACTTTTTTCGACAATGATGAAGCAATGGTGTCATCACACTTGGGATCACATTCAAGATAAACACGCATGATTTTGGCAGCAGAGCTAGAAAATAAATTAGGAAAAAATAATAATACATTGGGCATGTCAAATCTACCTTCGTTTTTGTCGGCCACTATGGGCTCCGAGAATCTCTACCTTAACAACCGTCAAGTTAGCATGTAAGCTTCGATTTTGACTGCGAATCTGAAAAGTAGATATGTTTTTCACACATGAAGTGTTATGTACAAGACTGAAATAATCGTACCGCTTTAGTTATATTCGATAAACTTGCACTATCAACTTCACCATCAGGAAGAGTAATGGGAACTTCGTAATTAAATACTGATGGTTTTTAAACAAAATAGCATTGATCAATGAATAGTATTTATCGAGAATATCCTTCATAAACACTGAATGTAGAAATGCACATTTTACTATGCTAACCTGTATGATTAGTTGAATCGGATGTGTTTTGATCAATAATGGGTGTTATCGGTGTTATTTCAACTAAACAGAATTGAAAATATAATCGTGATCAAAGTTATAAATGTAAGCCACACACTTCCACATTCATCTTGTTAACAAGAGTAACGTTTTACATATCTGCAGAACTGTTGTATTCGTTTACTAATGACGAATTTATTATTAAATCTAATAAAAACTTCAATTTGTAAGGAATCACCTATTTAATACTTAGAATCCAAAACTGTTCTAGTATGGTTAGCGTCTGGTCAAAAAAGTTATTTTTATGGATAATACTTGATTGTTGCATATCATTTTTGACGTTAACAGCAAATGTTCGACTACCATTCAGACTAAAGCCAGTGGTAGCATAGTCAACATTACTCTGCACAGGAGTTGGTTTTTTAATCATAATTCTGTTTATTAAGAAAAAGAAAGTTACAATAAATTTGACTAAACGAGCAGACCAAGGTCTATGGTGCAGAGTCAACTAAACAGTCTAATAAAGAACTAAGAAGTTGTTTGATAGCCTCTCCGCCGTCTCAACTGTTCAGCCATACGTCGCACGAAATTAATTGTTATTTTCGAAAGAGTTCATGTAATAAAACAAGTTAATGTAGCTGGATGAGACTAGTATTATTTAAAGAATAATTTAATGCAGTTTACTTACCCACAGTTGATTCTTTTCTTCCGCAAAAACGTCCGGTATATCCAGTTGGACAGTGACATTTAAACGTTATGTAGTCATCGTTATCATCTTGTCCATCAGGCGTAGCTTGTACAACACAAACGCCCGCATTTTTACATGTATCTTGTGGGCAATGACAATTCTGATTCTTTTTTGATTTATCACATCCTGGCAGATAGTAACGTGCAAATGTTCTAAAGATAACAACAAACATCAAATTTTCGAAAATAAAAATGAGATTTTTCTATTTATCATTACATACATGCTTGCCGCTATTGCCTCTTTCAATAACTGATTCGCACGAAATGGCTCTAATATCAATTTATCACTCAAATTTTTGAATGGTCTAAGCATATCTAAATAGAATGTGTATAAAATAGACCACAGAACTACTATTGAGAAGGAATAATACATACGTTTTCCATCTTCATCCGAAATGACGACGGAATTTGCAAAGACAGCAGCAATAAATAAATAGAAAAGTGATATAAAACAAATCATAATAAGATAAGAATATCGAAACAAAAGTGAAAAAGTGTTCAGAAAAAATGTCGATTGAAAATGTACAACACGGTTCAAAAAGAAAAAGCAAGAGAGAAAAAATGAAATATATGACAAATAGAGAGAAATTTGGCTATATAACCGCTAATTTGATTAGTCTCTACCACACAACATAGAACTCTTAAATAATTCTTACAGAAAGAAATATATATGGAAAAAATTACTAATAATGTATTTAGCTAAATTATTAACTTCGTAAACAATTATAGCGTTAATTCTCGATAGTAATGTATTCTAGTTAATTCAGACAGAAAAAAACTAAACTGAAAATCAAAAGTTAAGCTCTGTTAAGTTGCTATGTTATGTCTCATTTTGATCTGAAAAGGTCGCTATCCAAATCTATGTGTTTAGAAAATAATTTATAGAACCCGATGTACTCTAATAGGGTACATGATAATAACCCGACACAATTCATAACCCAGACAACATCCATCCAGATTATGTCAGAATATCACGAAGTGCTCTATTTTACCTGCGCAATGCGATTTTTTACTTGAGAATAGTAAAAAAACATCCTTGTACTTCGAAAGATTTCTACAAAAACTTGCCAAAAACCAATGAACTTCCAGTTGAGTTTTAAAGCATTTATTGAACTGCATGGTGTTTAGCACGTAAAAGAAAGTTCATCTTGATATTCTGACATAATTTGAATGGATGTTGACTGGGTTTTTTTAATTTTACTCAAAAATAGGCAAAAATGGGATAGATTTCACCTACTATAGGTTTTCACTAGGTTTTTGAAGCTTTTTTGAAAAACAAATGTTGCCACGAGATTCAGCGTGGTACATTACCTATGTTTCCATCCGTTTTCGGAATGACCCCACCCAAAGACATATTGATCGTGAGACTCTCAGAAAATCCGATGTCACGCCTGAACTAGGAAAAATTAAGAGTTTGCTGAATTCCTATTATGGAGGGGACACTTTGGACTATCTGTCTATCAAAAAATACTGGCAGATTGCTCTCGCAGCTGCCAGAGATCCGAAGTGATTTTCCAAAAATCTCTTAGAAAATAGGCCTTTCGAATGTTTCGGAAAACCATTTGGCTTACGAAAATATAGGCTAAACTGTTCCCTTTTGATTGCTGAAAAGCACAAGTCTCTAACGCTTATTGTTGGCTAGTTGTGACGAGTTATTACCATGTACCCTATTAGTACATCGGGTTCTATAGGGTGGTTAATTGCATAAGTATCGTAGAAAAAACTAAAAGTCGAATATTTTATTTTTGAGGTTTTCGAAAATACCTTCTATAAAACCATGAAAAATTTTTCCTGGGACAGAAAGCGTTACAAATTCTGAAAGTAAACACTTTGGACTATATAACCATGTATAAATCTCAGAATCGATATTTTTAACGAAAATTGACCGTTGCTTTTATCAATATTGTTTCATGTACAAAACAGTTGTTCATAGGACATAAAATACAATAATGTGGCTCCTTCATGATGGATAGCACTTTTTTTATGTTTACTAATTAGATTTAAAAAGCGGTTTCAATTTGGAATGCACATATTCTCTCGTTTCTTATAGAAACAAAAAGTAATCTCAAGTTGGAATAGAGAGTTTGTTCTTTCACATATTTTGTACACTATTTATAATCTGGAATGCACAATGTATATATATCACAACCATCATATTTTAGATTCATACTCATCATCATCTGTAAAATTAAAATCATTATCTAATAGAACTATATAACGGTAACTTAATGATCGTAATGTTGCTTGATAAGCTTCTACGCAAGCATAAAAGAAAAAATCTAGTATCGCTCGATTCATCTGGATTACTAGAGTTTTACTCGATTGCATCTATTGGGTAATGATCGTGGAAATCTAGTAACCGGCCGATTGTCAGATTTCTTCTAGTTGCAACTATCGATTTATCGCCCGATAATTGATCGATTTAACTATTGCTATTATCGATCGAGTCGAAAAAATCTGGCCTGAGCTTTGATTCCGTGGAGATTTTTCAAAGATCCGCTAAAAAATCGTATGCATAAACTGAAAACCTTATGTAATTCCGTCAACTCGATCTACATTCTATGATCTCTGCTAATCATTCCCTGACAGTTTGAGTGTTTTTGGACGAGAAATGAGTGAAATGCACGGCTTTTAATTTTCGACTGTAACAAGCGAAAAATCGGATTTTCATCAAATTGGATTTTCTGGAGTTGTGGTTGAGTGGTCAATGAAAGGAACATCGCCACGATGATCAGCGTGGTCGATTAACTATCATCTACATGTTTCTGAGATTCCCAGACGTGTCTGCAACGAGAGAGGTGTGTCCTCGGAACACGTCTATACCTCCAGAACTAAAGGAGATGAAGACTGGGCCTTGCGTAGTTTTGAAGAGAAATCTTTTGGTTAATGACTACTTTTATTTAAGATTGAATGTCACAATGTGTTTTGGGAAGGGTAAGCTTTCTGATTTTGTCTCAAATGGTGCACCATGGTAAACCTGATCAGGCGCCCTGATTTTTTCATAGATGTACGTCCCAGAGTGTCTAGTTACAGAATCTGAAAACCGCAGGTCTCTAGCTCTCTTCGTTGGAAAGTTATAAGCATTTTGCTGGAGCGCATTCTTTTTAAATTTCGATAATAGTTGCACATGCAGACGAGTCTAGTTAAAAGTCCCTTTTCCAACTAGTAATCTAGATGACAACTAGTCGTGCATCGCCCGATTATAGACAAAATGTATCCAGATTTTCCCATAGGTGATTTTTGCTTGGGATAGATCCAAGCTTCCATTGAAATAATTCTTTTTTGCTTCAGTTAATTGGAGATCATTATTCACAGCTCATCAATACCACTACTACCAATTATGACATCATCTTTTATTGTTATTGAACACGAACACGAATTACGAGTACCGATCCATTTTTGAGTTCATATGAAAACGCTATAAGTAACTTTTATATAATGTACCATACTATGAAAATCTATTTTCTGAACCAGAAGTTATTTGGCCTCATGCATATGTTGACTCAGCTCCCATTATGGAAAGAGGTGAGAATGATTCCTCTCGCTAAAAAAGAGTATATATGTCCTGTTTCTTTCATCCGTCCTATTTCCCTAGATGTGTTTTTAAAAGTGCAGGAACAATTATTCCTGTCGAGATTTTTAGAAGTGTTACAAAACAGAGGTATCTTGCCGACACATAATCCAGAGTGCTTCTTCTTATTGATTCTATTTCCTCCTTAAGGCCCCCGCCCGGGTCAGAAACCTATCTCAGCCCAGGTACGTCTGATCTGAACCAAACTCTCAGGGAATGTTGACCATGTCAAAGTGCGGTAACGAAATTATTTTCGGTGTCGTTTGCAACTGTTCGTGAGAGGGCACACAACAATCGCCAAAAGTAGGCGTGTACCACGCACAAGAATTCTCATTCCAAGTAAACGATGGAGAGCTCGGACTGTTTTTGTTTTGCAGTAAACACCTATGCCTAGGAGTTGATAGAGCCCGATTTTTGAATTCCTCATTTACCTATTTCTCGTGCTTAATATAACTTTAAAGTCCGAAAAATCCTTGGAAGGTCTTAGAAATCCTCATTTCTGTAAGAAACAGAAGCATAATTTGAAAATCGGACTCTGTCGACTCCTAGCTATAAATGTTATCTACAAATCAAAAAAAAGATTTCTTTCTCCGATGTATCGTTACCGAGAATCCCTGTGCATGGCGAAAACCCTGAAGCTAAAAAACAGTCTTAAGAAAAACGCAAAATAAGTTTTGATTCTGTTAAATGCGTTTTACTTAAAAACTGTTTGAGCGTTAAATAAAGTTGTTGATATTTTGCTACAGGTTATCGGTCATGACGGATCTAATGAATTTGTGCGCGGCCCTGTGCGGCACATGCTTGCGCTTATGCAATACAAGTGCAAAAAAGCTATTTTTTTGCTGTAGGGCTTCTGGAAAACTCGCTCAAAATCTATGCTATCAACACAAAAATTATGCCATTAGAAAGTAGACATTTTGGGCTATCCAACCATGTGCTTTTCTCAAAATCGATATTTTTTGAAAAAATCAGTATTAATGTCAAACAGTTCTCCAGCGGCCACTGTTTTCGTGGATTTTAAATCCATATTCGATCAACTATGGTTCGAAGGATGTCTGAGAAAGATCATGCTTCACGCCAACACTTTTCATCACCTACCACTCAGACATAAGTGAGTTTATAAGCATGTGTTTGTCTTTCTTCTTAGCAGACGATCTTGCAGCCGCCATGGCAGGTCGAATCGGGGCGGCATTCTGAGCACAGTGTCTCAATTTGGAGAAATGTCTCTCTGTTTCCTTTGAAAATCTGGAATTCTATTAGCTTCTGTCTGTTCAACCACTAAATTAGTCGAAGACAGAAGCTCTCTGGTCTGCCCGCGCAATTGGAAAACCTAAATTAAACCTTTTCTGCGGCTCTCATCAAATTAATTGGATAAGTGTATTTAAATATTTGGATTATTGAATCACACGTAAATTGGGTTGCAGAGATGTCTAAAAGCTAAACGATAGTGTATTATGCGGAAGGCTAAAGCTTTTTGTCGCTCTGAGATATTGAGCTCTATTATATTTTCGAGAATATGCAGACATTTTAGTTTTCTGATATCGTAGATTTTTCATGAGAATGAGAGAGGAATTTATATCTTCAAGAGCATAGTAGTTTGAGCCGAGGCTTCTTAATTGAGGTCACTTTTTTCATAAAATCTATAACATAAAAATTAACATCAAAGAAACATCACAGGGCGGGCAGCGCAAAATGAGAGTGAGTAGAAAAATAGTGATCTCAGTTAAGAATAAGCCAGTTTGAGGGTGAGGGTGAAATGATGAAAAGTTGCAAAAGTTAAAAAGATGGAAAGCTGAAAGGATGATAAACTGGAAGGATGAAAAGTTCCAGAAACGTATATAAGGTGCTCGATAATTTTTATTATTTCGAAAAGCATAGAAGCTAAAAGATAACTAGTTCTAGACAAAGTTTGGACATTTCGACAACATTCATGCTATTTGTCGATAAACAACGTCGTGATATTTCTCATTTCTACTATACATGTTTAAAAAGAGTGCATCCTTGTTTAGAATGGAATAACTTTGTTTTCTCATGCTGTTATGATGAAATCGACAGATGCTTTCGATACTGGTGTAGATTTCTGGATGCTCTTTCCTCTAGCACTGATGGTTCTCTTCTTCTTGAACACCCTATTTTAAATTGTAATCGTTTTGTGGTTAAATAAATAGTATTGTGTGCAATGCTTACATCGCTCTAAACGTTGTGCTGTGTATATGATTAGTTCTATTTATCTTTTGTCTCCTTTGTACTTTATATATGAAAATAGTAAAATAATGAATTGTGAATTTACTATACTTATTCTTTCCATTTATTTTATTATTTTCTTTGTATTTATGTAAATAATATTCTTGTTGTACTGACCGATCCTCATGGATACAGTAAGATGCAAATAAATATTAAAAATATCCCAAGGTAAAACTACTTGCTGTGATATCCACTCTCATCCACGCAAACGAAGGATAAAACGTTTTATTCTCTATGAACTGACTAAAGAAATTTAACTTCGAGCGTATTATGGAAAAAAAAAGCTTCAAACAACATAATATGTAATTTATGCATTTTTACAAGATGTATTTTTTCGAATATTAAAGACATGTGACAAAGATCTTTTAAAAGACGTCAGAAGCCAATACCTGACGAAAAAATGTTAGTAAATTAACAAACTAAGGTAATATTTGTGACAATGATTACCTGTGTTTGTTCTCAAAGTATACATTTTCAAAAAATAAAAGCCTACTGTAATTATAGCTTTAAATATAAGAAATAAGATCAGTAGATGAACTTCATATAATATTATTATTATCTAGTTGAAACTAGAAATAAAAGGAAACGACATCATATAAATGTAAAATAAGAGTAAAAAGCAATTTAATTTCGTTTTTTCTTTGTAATTAAGTCGTTTTATTTCATTTCTAATTAATTAATAGTTCATAACTGTTAACACTATACTTGACAAATTACTCCTAAATTTTATTTATTAATTAGATACTTTATTATAAACATGATGAATTCATTTAACTCATTTAAATTTAAAAATATTAAAGAATAAAATTAAATAATAGTTATTCAAATGGAATTATGAAAACCTAGTTGAACATCAACATAAATATCTCTATCTCTATGGAATTATATTTATTATCGAACAAAATAAAAAACAACAATAAAAGGAAAAGAAAAATGGGCAAAAAGAAAAATATTAACAATAAAAAAAAAGAAAAAAGAAGAAAAGAAATTGTTTATTTTATTTTATATTGTTTTTGTTTTTTTGTAAAGTGAAGCAGATAGTTATACCATTCAACCATTTAGATTCATCACAGTAAACTGAAGAATAACAAATTTTGAAATATTAATTTATGATTTTTCATCGAATAATGTACTAGAATTGAGACTATCAACATCCTCATAATCTTGTTGTAATTTGATTTCTGGTGTTAATTTTTGATTTTCATCATCTAAACAATAAATGAATAATTTCTAGATAAAGAATTAAATTATCATTAACTTAATTTTAAAAAAAAACAACATAAAATTATATATACATCAACTATGAGAAAATTTTTTAGCATAGAGTTTTATGTTTATTGAATCGAACACTATTCTTACTGCTAGTATTATTTGATACAGTATCTATTTGTATAATCAATGGTATTTTTGCCATAGCTATTTGTGATAAATGATGAATATTATCAATATTATTATTTGCTGTTGATTCTGTTGTTGTTGTTGTTGTTGTCATATATTCATTATTTGGTATTTGTGATGCAAATTTTAAACTATTTACAGTTGGTTTTAATTGTTTTGTTAATCTCATATTTTTTTCAGGATGTATTAATATAATATAAACTTTTGGTGAAAATAAACAGACTAATGCCACAGTGGCAGACAATGATATTGTTATACACAATGTTGTTATATGAACCTAGAAAAAAAATGAATTTTCTATTATAAATAGTTCATTTTTTTTTTCTTTTCTTTTTTCTTTTAGAAATTATACCTGATATCTTCCATTATCGTATGCTGTATAATAGATTGGTAAAAATGCTAGCCTATTAAAAAGATAATATAGTCAATTCTATTATTAATAATGAAAATTTTTTTCTTTTTTTTATATAAACTTACCATATAATACATGTTGTATAACATGTGAAACCAATAAATTTTGTTTCATTAAAATTTTCTGGTACTTTTCGTGTTCTAACAGCATATACTGTACAAATACTAATTAAAAAGGCATTATAAATTAAAGAAAACAAAAATGAATGTTTATTCATATTGCATTTAACAATGACAAGTCTTTCATATGGTATTAAATTAACATTTGGTTGTTCATAACCTAACCATAACAATGATAATAATAATTGAATAATAATTAAACATGTACAAATAAATACTTGACTTTTTGGACTTATATATGGAGGACGTAAAGTACCTAAAATTCATTAAAAAAAAATTTCCCATTTTCTATGATTATTTTAATAAATTGAAAATTTTCAAAAAAATAAAAGTATAAGATAACATGATCAACTTTTTTATGTATATATTCTATCTTTTAGATTTTTTAATATTGTTTAACATAACAAAAGAGTATTCAATAATAGATTGAAATTACGAGAAGTAAATATAATTAATTTTACCTTGTTTTTTTGTACTTTCAAATATTCTTGCTATTCTATTTGTTTTTGTTAATAATGCTGAATACATCATGGCAAATCCTAAACCAATTCCAATTCGTTGTAAAACACATGTAATTAAATGTGGTCTTAATATAATTGGAAATGTCATTAAATAACTTAAATGTATACCACATAACATAATAAAACATAATTCTTTACCAGATGCTTTAACTACTGGTGTTTGACGTTTACGATAAAATAATATTACAACAAATAATGTACAAATATTTCCTAATAAAGAGATACATATAGGTATTAAAGCTTGTGGTGATAATAATTCAATATATGTTTCTTTTAATTTATAACATTGTGTACGATTTTCTGATGGCCAATAACCCGTTAAACATTGTACACACTTTTCATCTGATGTTACAATAGAATTATCACTACACGATGTACATACCCAACAGCAACGATCAGCTTGAATTTGACGAATTTGACCTAATTTACATGGTTCACTACAACGAGAAATGGGCACATGTGTAATCAATTGATTACCAGGCCAAATAATTGAAGATATATTTATATCTAATACACCATGTTTATCTAAACCAGATTTCCATTCTCCAACTGAAATATAATCATATAATGATGATGATGATGACGATGATGAAAGAATATTTGAATTGGATAATAGACGACGACGAAAATTATAAATACGATAATGACCAGTGACAAAACGTTTATCATTGAATTGAATCTGACGACCATCAGGCACTAAACAAAAAAATAGAATAAAATAGTCTAGTCCTATTACACGACACGAGAGTACAATTTAACTTTCAGGAAACAGATATATATATATAAATAGACAAATATCTCTTTCCTCACCTAACTCATAACTGTTACTAAAGACAAAAATACATAGTTGAGATTCGTCATGTCTCAAATAGTTCGAACAATCATGAAGGTAGTAAGTAGTATTTACTAAACTAAAATTGAAAATAGCTATTAGGCATATTTTTACACAAACTTTTTTTTCTCCTCCACTAGGATCTTAATATCAACACTCACCAAAAAAAAAAAAAAAAAATCTTACTCTATAATGTAATTTAGCAGAGTAAGCATGAGTTAAGTAAACTGATTTAATTAATTTAAAAATTCCGCCCTCAAAGGAGTATCCAATAATTATCATCTGCAGTCAATGACTTTTTTTCACGAATGTCTAACTACTACATCGAAGCATGATTGACTGGGTATTTTTGATATAATCCGTTATGATACATTTATGATTGTCGTCTTTTCTCTCTCTATTCTTTTATATAGAATGAACAAAATTATTTGATTGTAATTTCCTTGATCATTTCTCGGTTTTACTTGAAGATATATAGTTTCTTGTTTTTATATTCATAAAGCAATCAAACAAGATCACTGTTGCAGAAAGGGAAGCATAGAGAAAATGAGATTCGATCGTAATTCATAACTACAGAAAAACGAGAACGAGAGAGAGTGAAAGAGAAATGTCAACTTGATACACAGATAAATACAACATCTTCATACTATTGTAGACAGTAAAATTAACTTTATTTATAAAAGAATTCCTTTTTAGTAGTGTTAATTATGAAAAATCATATACTATGACGACCTCCAACATGTAGTCTAATAACTACACAAGAACAGAGAATTAAGAGAATAAAACCAAACACCCATTGGGAATGTATTCTGCATTATTGATTGCAAATGATTATTGTCTAAGAAAAAAAAAAATAGCGATTTATTGTCCTCACAATGTAGATAGAAGATAATGTTTCTGTCTTTTAAATATTTATCTACTAGAAAACTTTTATACTTACTGTCAAATTTACCATTCAATATGATATCGAACAATTTTGTTCCATTAATATCTGTAATTTTACATGGTGTTGATGTTTGATTTGAACAATTTAAATAACGATGTAGTGCATGAGCAAATACATGAACAGCATCAACAATAAATTGTAATTTTGAATCCCAATTTGTTTCATTTAATTTTTGCTCATAACATGTTTCATTTAATTTTAAACTACATCCGAAACGGTGTTCCCAAAATTCATTGAACCATGGATTTCTTGATAATGCTGAATTAGATAAATTTGTTATTATTGGATTTGTTGGTTTTAATGAATTAAAATAATGATCAAATTGTGATGGTTCTTTTGAAATAAGTTCAATAGTTAATGTACCAGCAGCAATATCATCAGTTTCACCATTAATTACCACAGATGATTCTTTACCCCATGCATCACTTGCTATTAGAACAGGACGACGTTGTTCATCATATAAATGAATTTGTTTTTTAACTGCTTGCAATAATTTTCTTGCATCTTCTTTAGTTAAAAATAAAACGTAGACTCGAACACTTTTTGGTCTCACTACCATTGTTTGTAATAAATTTTCAATTTCTTGAACTGAAGCATCACGTGATAAACGAGATTCATCCGAAATACAAATAGACATATTTGATGTACCAACTGGATCTTTAATTAAACGTTTAAATTCTCGAAAACCACCTTCACCATAATCACCATGTGAATAAATTGCATTAACATAGGTAAAATTTAATCGTTGTAATATATCAACAATTGCTCGTGCTTGATTTGAATCAGATGGTACAGTACGAGCAAAATAATCGAATGATGGTTCACTAAGTTTTGGTGCCGTAGATGCATACGATATTTGTGGTAATTGAAATAGACGTAATAAATTGGCAACATATACACTAACAGAACTTAATGACGCACCAACAACACCAACAACATTTTCATTATGAATGGGTTGTGGAATAGTTCCATCACGACAAGAATACGATGTAGATGTTAAACGACTACGAACAAATTCGAGACTTGATTCTAGTGCATAATTATCATTTGAACATGTATCTAATAAAATTGCTCCTAAAGTAATATTTGGTAATACAGTATGATTTTGATTAATTTGTTGCAATGCAAATAACATTGCTTCAAGACGTTGAATTCCTCGAAATTCACTAATATCACCACACGGTTCACGTCCACCGTAATCATGAACTAAAATAGAGAAGAAGAAGAAGAAAAAAAAACGAACTAATAATTATCTAACAACACTACAAGAATATTTTAGTTTATGTCATAGTTAAAATAATATTTTTCTCAAAAGTTTTAAGGATTCTAGGTTTTAACAAACCTGGAAATAGACCTCCCAATGTTAAATTGCCTGGTAATCGTGCTGAACGTGGCGTTTGCACACTGTTTACTCGACTAAAATAATTAAATATTATTATCAACGTAAATGTAATAGAATATAAATAGGTAAAAGAATATTGTTGCTTATTTTCTTGACGATAATAAAATAGTTTACAAAAATAAAAACTGAACAACTTCATAAGTAAATAATAATATAAGAAAATTTTTTCATCTTAATAATAAAATCAATATCATTTGATGTTTTATCAATTTCAAAGGTATACGTAAACGAATTATTTGGCTTTTTGTTCGTATGTTTAAAATCAAATTTTATTCATCTAGAAAAAAGAAAACATAGAAGAAAAGATAGATCATTTGTCTTTTTTTTCAAATCAAAGAATATTCACTTCTTTTTTTATATATATAATGAATATAAAAATAATTAATGTTATTTTGCATTACGCGATTGAAAAAGAAGATGACAAATGTGTCCAAATGATGAACCACACGACATTTTAATGAAGAAGTCAACTTTAACACTTCTATTTCAATCTAAATCTTGTCTCTTCTCTACTCTTTAATCTTTTATAAATTTTGAACATTTTTGGTATAGATAAGACAGAACGATACCTCATCAGTTCATTTAACAGTGTAAATCTGATTTTTCTTTTTCAAAAACAATTAACTCTATTAGTTTTATTTACATCTGAGTAGTTGACTTTTTTTTTATTCAAGTGAAAATGACTTTAAGACGTTATATAGTTTGAAAAAATTTTGTTCAAAATGTGTCTTTTATCCTCTAAATTATGTTCGTTAAGTTAAATATTTTTTGATTTGAGCTTAAAAAAAGAAAAGAAAAAGAAAAAGATTTATCTATTCAAACTTTATATATTTGATGAAATTAAGAAATACATACTTAACAGTCATGCGATATTTAAATCGTATCTATTGTTTTAAAAAACAACAATAACTTGATGTCGTATTTTTTGTAAAAAAAACAAAAAAAACAAACGACTTTCTTTTTTTTTCTTCCCCTCCTCTCTCTTCTTTCTGTATTCTCTAGCTCCTTTCACTTTTATTTTTTAACGTACTATCCATTTTCTTTTCTCGTTAATTATATATTATAATGTCTTCATTTTCTCTTCATAAATATCGATCGTAGTCTGTCAGATTTCTCTCTTTTTTCCTGTTGTTTCTTCTTATTCTTTTTTTTATTTTCATCATTTATCGTAAAAAAAGGCAAAACCGGAAAATATTCATATTCCAAAAATATAGAGTATCTTTTTCGAATGGTCAGTTTTTATATTAGTTAAAGAAAACAATAACAACAACAAAAAAAAAAAGATTTAAAATTTGTTCAAATATCAGTAATAAATCATTTATAAAATTTTTCATTGTAAATCGTACATCTACAATCACCGAGATACAATATTCGTATATAAAAACAGAATGAAAATTTAATATTTGATTTAGAGAAAAACAAAAGTACATAGAATAATATCAACGGCAAATTACATTAAAACATCATAAAAAATGTATTTGAATTTTCTTTTTTCTACTTCTTTGAATTAATTCTAGACATCTATAGTTGTATATTAGATTTACTAACAGACAACGAATTTATTAATCATTTTTATTTTTTTTAATTTAACTTTAAAGAGAAATTGAATATTTTGGCATAAAAATTTGAATTTAGAAAATAAAAATTTGAATTTTTACTGTATATTCATATCTTGTCAAAAATATTATAATAATATTCAATATCAGAGAAATTTAGTAGCCAAATTAGACTACGGAATATTCATGGATAAGAATGTTGTTTAAGTTCTCTTTTATTGTCGTTTCAAGTATGTACTACTTCAGTATTATCCAATTAATATGAAGAACTATATGATCTGTCATTTTTGAATAATCATAAGTGAAATTGAGAGATTTTTGTTATTATCAAGCGATTATTACTACAATGAGTGTGCGTTGTTTTAATTACTAGGTCGAACAATAAAAAAAAACAAGAACGTTGAAACATCCGTTTTTATTTTTTTTTAAAATAATCAGAACTTATTTTTTTATTTTATTTTGAGAAATAACAAAAAAACGAATTTTCTTTTATTGACAAGTGTAGAAATAACTGGCATGACAAGGTTGCGTTTATCATTAACCGTTTAGTATTTTTTTCGTTTTTTGATGAACTAAAAACGTTAATTTCTTATATCTATATATGTATTCATGAACTGACAAAGCCATAGAAAAGTTTCTCTCTGTTCTCCCTCTCTCTCCTTTCTATCTAACTATATTGATGATAATACTGAATAACTCAACAAAAAGAATAAAAAAATAACATAAGAAGAAATATGTAGAGAATAGATGAGAACGAAGAGATAATTTGAAAAAAGAAAATACCCCGATGATGTTATGATAATAGTAATAATCATAATACTAATATTCTTGTTAACTCTTTTGTAATTTTTTTTTCTTCTTTTTCTTCTTTTGTGTGTGTGTGTGTATGTGTGTATCTCTGTGTGTGTTAGCTACGTTCAAGTGAATACAGATAAACTATTACAGAGGACAAAAAAAAAAAAATTTTTAAACAAGAACAATAACAACTAGTCTAAATATTCTATTTAATTTTTTATTATCAATTTGTTCGTATCCCCTAAAGACCTTATGTATGTTCATTGTATAAATTACCGTGTACTTTGCTGTTGTTGTTGTTGTTTTTTATTTAGGCTCAATTAAATCAATGTACAACATTAATACAGTGAACTAAGTTTTTCTCTTTCATATTCGCTTTAGTATCAATCACATGTAGAAAACTGTATCCAATAGTACAGTATAGTTAAATTTTTATAGATTTATTATTTTTTCATCAAATTATTATTATTTGAGGTCTACATGAGTAATTAATAATGGTAATTTTACACAAAATTAAACAGCATTTTATACGTGATTCTCTCGAACAAATATTCACATGAACGAAAACGAAACGTTGCATGAAAAAAAAGCAAAAAAATGTTCAAAGAAACCATTTAGTTCTCAAATTCATCGAGTTTATTTGACAAAAAAATCTGATTTAAAATATTATACACATAGTAGGAAAAAACAAAACAAAACAAAAAAAAATGATAAAACTATATCTTCTTGGTATTTTGAGTTTTATTTTTTATTCCTTTGACGATAGACTACAATCTTGTGCATTCTAATTTCTACTAATGTACAGTTTCTTTAATAATATCTCTTGTTCCATTCGTTCATTTCGTTCAACAATCTTTATGTTGGATTTTAACATTTTATCTGATACATATTATTTTTTTTTTCTGAACTGTAGATAATTTTATTCTATAGAAAAACATATTACGATAAGAAAGAGACTTGAAACCACTGCATGCAAACATAATTAAAGAAAAAGAAATAAGAAGTATAATTTACTCTATTTTCATAATAATTTTTTATATCGTTTTCATTAATGATGGTATACCTATCCGATGTGATGATGGAAAAAAAAAAAAAAAGAATTAGACTTATCATTATCATGACATAGAAAGGAAAAAAAAAAAGAGTCATTGAATTGGAAATTTGAATAAAACACGCTTTCTTTTCTCGTTCGCCCCATATCTTTTTAAAGTTTAATAATGCGTACGAGATAAATAACAATTATTATTATTTAAATTGTCCGTGCATATATAGTTAGGAAAATTCCAATATATTGTTGAATGATGAAACAAAATGATCCGTTGTTTTAAAAAAACAAACGCACATAAAAGCCTTCAGAATATAGACTATCTATTTGTTATAAAAATGATAAAACGTTTTTTTCTTTTTTTTGTTCTATGCAAAAATTGGATGATGCTTCACCGATTTAGTTAATATATAAGGTAATAAATTTAAGTTAATTGTACTAAATGAAACAAATGAACTAATTCTTTAACTGAAGTATGAGTACAATTCGTATTCGAAATTAAATATGAATTTTATTTTATTAAGAAAACTATAAAATTAATACTAAATCAAAAATATCTGTATTGATAATATTTTAAAAGGTTTAACATTTTCTTTGAAAATAAATGATAGAAGATTCGATCATTTTATTTTTCTTCTTAATTGTAAAATGTTTGAAGAGATTCAAAGTACGATACAAGTGACTTATATTCTGAGATGACTTTTATTAAACATTTTTTCTCTATTTGACAAAAGCTTTTTAGGTTATTTTCTAGTTTTAGTCGTTTTTCTTCATTTTAATACTGCGGAGTCTCATTGTCTAAAAAATGGCATTACTCTCCATTTTGTACGCTTTTTAGTTTGATCAGTTGTTTTTACTTGAAAGATGTGCATTAAAGATCTACAATGAGATGTCGCAATTAAAAACTGTTTTTTTTTCATACATCTTTTCAACAGGAGAGATGCTGAAAGACTAGAAAATTTATATATTTTATTTTAACGTGCAACTTTGAAATTTAAAATTTAAAATCTACCAGTGATATCTTTGACACTATTTAAAATTCATATTTTTAGTATAAAAATTACTTTTTTCTAAAATTTTGTGCCATTTCATCGTTTAAATTTACAATTGAACATCTTTTCTGTCAAAATGTTACTCATCAGATTGTGTATATAAATAAAGTAATGAACTATACTTTTGACAGCTAAACAAAAAACATTTTATTTACTATAATTCTCTCATTCATGTGAGCTCAATCCAAAATGTATATAATCTACTTGTATTATAGCTAGAACATATCAAAACGTTTATGGTCAAAGATTAAAACAAAACGACCGAAACTCTGATCTCTGGCCTTATTTAATCGATAATCTTTATCTCAGTTGTAAAAAGAAAATCAATCAAATATCATATGAAAAAAAAGGTATTTTTTTATATGATCATACATTCTCAAATGCTAAAACAAAATAATATATACTTTAGATGAGATGGTGGAACTCAATGATGGTCTATGTTCTTCTTTGTGCAACATATGGTTTATGTAAATTCGTTGTCCTCAATCGTCATTGTAGCTTAAGGGGCTATTCGATTGTGGATATTAAATATACATACAAATGTATTTAAAACATGTCCTTATTAATGAATCAATAAAAAGTGGAAAAGTTATCCTGAACTATTTTAGAATTACATCGAGGGCTCTAAATGTGATATTCATTCATTCTTCTTTTGCATGTAAAATCATCAAAGGCACAGCCGTTTCGAATTCTGAACACTCAAACGACTATTAACGGCTCGCTACATAATTTCTGACAAACGTACACCCTCCGCACCGAAGTGTAGTTTATCTATTCCTCGTGTTCACTGTTCACTTTACAACATAGTTTTCTGAATAAAAAAATTTCGACATGAAACATGTTAATGTTTGTATAAAACCAACAGTGAACATTTCTCGGAATCTTCAAACATTGCTTCATGAAGAGTTTAAAAAGTCGCACACGTAAACATCATTTTTAGCTTGCCATATAGAAAACTTCCGAAATTTACTAAAAAGAATTGTGAAATTATTTTTGTCTGGAAGTGTTTCGGTAAAGGAGCATTTTTTTCCGAAAGAAGCTATATTCCTAAAAGTTTGTAAACATTTACATGTGTTCAGTTTGGTTTTAGACCGGTTAGACCTTAACGGTTATTCTCCAGAAAGGAATATGGTACAGAACTCTGCAAACATTTAGAATAAAAGTAAAGTAGAAATTGAACAATATTGTCTGGGCTACAGTCTTGCTAGCCGATACAAATCCGACTGATCCGAGGGTCGGATCGACTTTGAATTAATTTGCTGCCGGATCGGGTTTAACTTTTAACAGCGCAGTACAATATATAGATAAAAGTTTCAGTTTTATATTATTCTGTAGCTTGAAAGTAATCTCTGCTAAAATGTTCAGTTAAATTACTAGTTCAAAACAACTGCAACCACAAATCTTACTGATTATTGCTT